GGGGGTGGTCTGGGGAGGGCTTGTGTCTCTCTGTTTCCTCCTCCCAGCTCTTCCTGAGGCACCTAGGAAAGGTCTCCCCCTCCCTTAAACGTTTCAGCATTACATCAAAATGGCCAATTTTGGGCTCACTCCTCCTCCAGAATGGCCAATGCTCATACTACACTTGATCTTAGCCAAAAGGGTCACTTTGGGCATCTCAGTGTGTTCTAGAATGGCTAGTTGACTGTTCCCCCTCCTCATTTCCTAAGTTAACCAATTTATTTATCCTTTTTCATGCTACAATGTGACTGATAAGTTGTTTCTGTTTCTTCTATGAATTCTCCCTCCCCCTTCCCACCTGTCGCCCCCACCGCCCCCCCATTCCCAACCTCACTTTTCTACTCTGGCAATTTAGGTTCATGTTCAAAGAACGTTCAAACATTTTGCCAGCTCCAAGCAACAAAGACATTGTTGGACACATGGGTGGGGGAGGGAAACCAAATCATAGCAGAAGCCTGTAGGCGGGAAGGGAAGAGACCCATTTCTGAAGATGCCTCAGAACCCCTTGGACATTGCTGCTATTCATCTTTCCTTATATGAAAAACAAAGGTAGTTGTAATTAATAGATTAACATGGATCTTTGTAGGTATGTGCTGAATCATTCATGAATCAATGGTGTTTTAATTTTGGGGCATGTGTGTGCTTCCACTTTGTGGGTTTCTGTTGTTCTATTTGCTGTATCAAAGACCGGGGTGGGGTATGCCTGTGTGTGTGCGTGTGTGTGTGTGTGTGTGCACGTGTGCGCACGCATGTCTCTTACAAATTGATAGCTCTGGGTTTTTTTCCCTTCTAAAACATTGGGTTAGATTTGGTAGAAGAGTAAAGAATTGGAAAAAAGCACTGAATGTTAAGCTGGTAATAATAAAGCCCCTTCCAATCTTCTTAAGTGTACAGAATTTTTAAAAGAGAGGGGAAGGAGGCAGGACACATCCAAATTAGGTAGCAGAAAGTTTACCTGAACAGTGTTGAGAACAGGGTCTAAAATGGAAAGTTACGCTTCCTAGAAAGTTAATCCATCGAATGTAGCACTTTAAATGTCTCTTCAGTGACCATGTACGTGAGGGGAAAGGGCCCCCCAAATGTGTGGAATACCAAATAGGAGGCAATAGTCAGGGAGATGAGGGCGTCAGGGTATCAGAGAAGCTGAGTCAGAAGGACAAAGAAGAGTTTCACAAGAATTTTGCAGCAGATTGAAAGAGACAAAATAATGTTTTGCTGCAGTTGACTGGGGGCAGGGGTGGGATGGGGGTAAAGGTGATTTTGTTCATGTGAATGTCAGATTTCTCCAAAATGAGGCTGGAGAAATGATGCTGGCAGAATCTATCATTTGCAGGGATTCTGTTCCTTATTTACGGAAGCTCAAACTAGGAGACAAGAAGGGCAGAGCAGGGCAGAGCAGGGCAGGAGGATAATGTGGAGTGAAAGAAAGAACAGTTGGGGAAGTCCTTAAATTCAGTGGGGCTTTCATTGGAGAATTTCCCACAGGATTATGGTCTCAAAAAGAGCTGAGTCTTAGAGTAGCAAATTGTAGAAGACTCAACCAAATTGGGTGGCTCTTGACTATTTATGGAGTGATTGGCAAAAGCTGAAATGTACTACTGTATCTCTGGAATTTGGATTTGAATAGAAAAAATAGCTTTATGTTTAGTAAGTTATCAAGAAGGCATCTTTTTTTTTTAACCGATAAGATGCAGCAGTGTTGATGGTTTTCTATTAGATTCTGCATGACAGTTGATCTGCACAGTATGACATTTTTTAAAACTACAGCACAGAGAAGGACACCTATCAGTCATGGGAATGTGAGTGTGTATGGCAAGGGAAGAGTGTTTTGGCTGAGTCTCAAATGCCAAACTCTGAAACACTTGTGCATCTGGCAAGAAAGGTGGGTGAGTGTTTGTAGTCATGGAGAATTTATTAGAAGAAAAACACCAAATGCATGTATGTGTCCAGAAAGGCATGCCAGGAGGAGGCGGGCTGGGGGAGGGAGGAAGTTCCTTAAAGAAAAAGGGCATGACCCACAGGAGGGTTCATCACGCACAACGACCGTCAAATCAACGGTAACTGTGCAGATGCACAAACGTCCTTGCACAAATCCCATTCTTTCCAGTGATGTTTGTGTGTGATAACTACTACCCCCAGAATTATGCCCTGAAATGTTAAGCACAGACAGTATATGAAGAAATATTTGATGTGGAGTATGTGCATCTGTGAGGGTATGCCTCTTCATGTGTATAGCAAAATGGTGTGCTATTGTAAAAAAGAAAACGAAGAGTTTGTATGCAACATAATACAAGATGTAACCACTCTTGGTTTTGTTGACTACCTTGTTCTTTTTAATTTTATTATTGGGACTTTTTGGTGGGAGGAAAGTGGGTATTTCTTTTTTATGATTTCTCTCTCTCTTTTATTTTTTTTTTTTTTGTAAATCAAATCATTTTTGTATAAAAATTTTAAGAGAACCTTTTTTTGAATAACAAAGTTTTAAAAACATTTTAAAAATTAACTATGTAACAACAATCCATAATGCAATTTCTTGAGATTGCAGAACAAACAAACAAAAAACAAAAAAAAAACAGAAAAGCAACCTCTTTACATTTCAGTGAAGTGTCTTAACATTTTATATATTTGTTTTAAGAAATATATTTACATATTATATATATAATATACGTAATATAAATATATATAAATATTGACAAAAAAGAAAATGAAGTTCTTGTTGTGTCTAGTATATGGGGGAGGGGGGAGAGAGAGAGAAAAGGAAGTTTTGGTTTTTTTTCTCCCTGATTCAATTCTGTATGTAACTCTTTGTGCTTTAGAAGCTATATTAAAATGGTGGCAGTGCAAACAGAGCTAAAAGTACTAATACACAGGGCAATCCTCGTTCCTGAACGGCCCCCATTCTTTTTTAGGGGGGCTTGTGCAGAAGATGTTTCCTATTAGTTTTGGCTTTTGACATTGTGGAATTCATTTCACTAAGTTATAGCATTCTGCATCTGTGCCTTTGTGTCAGTTTTCCATTGTCTGTGCCTTTCATATTTCCTCTTTACGTGTGCGCCACTGGCAGGAATGGAGCTTGGTGCCCACTGTTCTAGGGCAATTCCTTCCTCTTTCCCTCCTCTTTAGCAGACAGGAGGAGACAAAAGAGCAGCAACATAAGAGCTCGATTTGAACTATACACGCATAATTAGTCTTAAAGGCACATCAGTCTCACCACTGCCTTTATGCTATGGTTCTTATCTCTCAAAGAACCTTGGGGTAGTTTGGGATTGGATTAAATAAACAGAAGAATTGCTATTGGACCTCTCAGCAGTTTTACAAAAACTTTCGATTCTAGGATTTCTTACAGGAAGTCATAATACAGTAGCAGAGAGTTCCACATAGGCCTGTAATTATTCCACTTTCAACTGATATAGATGTCATTGAGGATAGCATACAGATGTTTTAACTAGTACCACTGAAGTCATTTGATTCAGACCAGAGCTGTTTTGTGGAGCTCCGAGAATCAGTCATTTGGTTAAAGAGTTTCTTGTTTCTCCAAGCTTCCATTAGCCCTCAGATTGTGCATGAAGAGATTGAAGTTGCTCCTCACCAACAAGTTAAGGAAGGTTGCCTTATGCCCAGACTCAGCAAAGGGAGTTGGAGGAAGAGGAAGCTATCTGTCCAATGTCTGTTTTCTTGCTCTTTCATCTTTACTAATAGCTATGGCCTACACAGGCTTTAAAGACAAAATGAGTAATTCTATTGTTTTCTGGTATTAATGATTTACCACTGACTCCAGTGATTTCAGAATGTATTGATTCAAACTTCTTAGCAAATGCTTTACATTGTATTAGGATTAATTCAATCTAACCTACTTTGAAATTGTCCTATCTATTCTTTCCTCCTTCCCACTTCAAGCATTGGGCATAATGCAGAATGAAATACTGTAGGGTACTTGTTTTTTAATTTCACATTGTTGTCATCACCTTGACTAATGAATCCCATTCAGTCAGCACACAGCATACTTTGAATCAAGAACTATATTCAGTTTTGCGGCCTATGCTTAGAAAGTGGGTATGATCAGGAGAACATGGACAGGCCCAAAATGTGAAGTGGGCATATCCAGAATAAAAAAGAGGTGAATTAATATTTAACAAATGAAACAGATGACTAAGTAAAACATAATGTTCTGCCTTCAGCAGCAGTTGACTGATGCCTCCAAGAAGTTAATAAATGAAAATCTTAGTAGACAAAACACACTTTCATATATACTTTTGCCAACATTATCCATCAAGTTATTTTCTTAAAATTTTAGACTCCCAAATCAATGTATTTTTAAAAAGCATTAAATCCATTTTGTCATCAGTAAACAGATCAGTTCTAAAACATTTATCAAGTTGATTCACAAGGGTTAAATATATACCACCCTAGATAAATTTCATTTGTCAACTCTGTTGATTGCCAAGAATAATACATAAACATGTCCACCTAGTCACAAGGAGTTGGAGCTAAACTTGAAGGAGACTTTACCTTTAGGTAACCCCTAGCCCTTTCAGATAATTAACCCTCAACATAAAAAGGTACTTTCCAAGGGTTTGCTATTTAAGTTCAAGTTCAGTGGAAAGTGGCATTACTAGCTATTTTTACTGGCAAATAAAATAGGGCTTTCCAGCCACCCCAAAACCTTGGGATTGTAGTCATTCTAGGAGGAGAGCTGTGTTATAGTAGCCAAATATCAGGAGTCTGGTAGCACTTTCCAGACTAACAAATGTTATTACTGTAAAAGGCATAAGCTTTTGTGAACTACAGCTCACTTAAGTGAGTGTATGTTTTTATGTATTTTAATAACATTTGATAGTCTGATTGTTACTCCTTCTGATTCAAACCCTTGTTCCTGGCCTACTTTTAAGGTAAGACATATGGAACTCTTTGGAGAAGTTGAGTAAACC